GACGCCTCCAGGGGCTTCTTGGGGACCTCCAGAGACTTCTTGGAGCAGGATGGAGGTGATGGGGGACCCAGGCATCCTACGACATGTTTTTGTTCGACGCCTCGGTCCCAGAGATCCGGACTCATTCCTGGGGGCAGTTTGTAGTCCCGGATCCCTTTTTGATGGCCCCGGACTGCAGGAAGGGCTTCGGCAGAGGCCGATGGGAAAGAACATCCGCCGGGACTGAGCAAGTCATGCCGCGGGAGATTTGGGCAGGATCAAGGACCAACGTTTCTGGATGAAGCCAGTGTTGCGTGCGCTGGGGCCCCCGGTTGGATCAGCGCGGTGCTTGCCAAGGGGACAAGCAGCTCAAGGCGCACGTGATCCACCTATGAGGTATAGGTTACGGCAGATATGAGCCATGTCAGCATCCTCTTATTCAGGAGGCTTGCGACGTACCGCCGACCCCCCAAAGAAAGCATAGACAGCGCGAGAAAATCTTGGAGGCATGTTGGAATTTCTTGGGATGCCTCTTCTCAGCAACCTCTTGGAGCGCTTGTCGAGGCATCCGGGGGCCTCGGCATCCTCTTAGAATCCTCTTACATCCAAGCTAGGTGAACGAACAGTGATAATCATAAAAACCCAGAGGTCCGCGCGGAATTCTCGGGTCGGCGCTGGTCCCTCCTCCCCGGCGCGCGGAGCGCGCGCCAGGGGCGGCGCCAGAGGCGCCGCCAGGGGGGGCTGACAGCAGATCCAAGAAATCCGCGCGGAACGCCAACATTTGATGCTTGTGCCGTTTTTTCTTCTTCGATCCCCGCTACCCCTACCCCCCTTCTGTCAATGTTATGTCGTTCCCTGTCATGTCTATGTTTCTGTTATGCTCTGCCATGGTATGTCATATGTCGCTCCCTGTCATGTGTACGTGAATGCTGTGTCGTTCCCTGTCATGTTGATGGTGATGTTATCTGTCGGTCCCCGTCGTGTTCGTTACCCTGCGAGCGGGGGCCCGCTGGACCCGGAACGCCAGGGCGCGGCCCAGGAGCCAAACCCTTGCAAACGGGGCGTTCGTAAACGGGCCGGCAGCTGAGGGTGCGTTTTCAAAGGTTTTTTACAACCTTCGATTTGCCGCGCGCAAGTGCGTGGTAACCCCCCCCCCGCCAAGAGTTACGATGACGTGTCGTTGTTTTGGTCGTCCCGATTTATCGCGCACCAGTGCGAGGTAAATACCCTGCCGCCCCGTTCTCGCCTGACGAGGCTCCTTAGCTGCCGCCCCGTTTACTAGTGCCCCGCTTGCAGGGGCCTGGGTCTGTCGACCTCTGAAGAGGACGCCGAAGGAGGAGGGAGGAGGAGGAGGAGGAGGAGGAGGAGGAGGAGGAGGAGGAGGAGGAGGAGGAGGAGGAGGAGGAGGAGGAGGAGCGGAGGAGGAGGAGGAGGAGGCGGGGAGGAGGAGGAGGAGGAGGAGGATGATCAGGGGCAGCTTGACGGACTCCTGGTAGACGGACCCCTTCTGTGACGACCCCCCCCCGCCTCCGTCGAGGGCGTGCGCGGGCGGCTGGAGGGGAGGCTCGAGGGCGACGGGGATCGTCACGGGAAGAAGAGGTGACAGAAGGGGTCGGCTAGGTCGCGGCCGAGGGGGGAACGGGAGAACGAGAAGATGTTATGGGGTCCCAGTGTAACAGAGACGCGTCATCACAGGGGTTTTTGGAAGTTTGGGCGGATTCCTTGGGTCGGCGCCTTGGAAGGCCTAGCGAGGAAGGAGAGGGAGGAGGTAGGGGGTAGAGAAAAAGGATAATGACGGTGGGATGAGGAAGGGAGGGATGGACGAGGAGGAGGAGGAGGCGGAGGAAGGAGGAGGAGGCGGAGGAGGAGGAGGAGGAGGAGGAGGAGGAGGAGGAGGAGGACGGAGGAAGAGACTCCGTAGTCATTTTGGCTCAAGATGTTTCTGGCCTTCGGACAGAGCGTGGATACCTCTAGTCCGAGGCTAGCATCAGATTTCTTGCAACCCCAGTCGAGCTCCGCGCTGCTGGGGCCCAGAGTTCTCCCCGTGTCCAGCGGTCACCGCTGATTCATGGTCAAGACGAAGAAGGGCAGCAAAGGCGATGGTGGTGGCTGGCGGCGGGACTACTGGGCGTGCGCCAATCACGGCAGTGGAGGCGCATCTGCTACTTCTGCAGCACGGCCAAGCCCAAGGCGCCCGAGGTTTCGGTTCCTCGTCCTCCTGTGGGTGCTTGGGGAAAGCGTGTGCTGTCCGACGAAGAGTTCGCGCCGTGGCTCCAGCTGGACGATGACACGCTCCGCACTCTTATGCCCTCGTTGTCCCAGTCCCAGAGGGACGAACTTCTCCACCGTCGTGCCATGGCGGCTGCGGGCCTGGCTGAGCCCGTCATTGTCGCTGTGCAGGCCTCGCAGGACGTGGGCTCCCTGTCCGCCCAGCTGCTGGCCGCGCGAGCCAGGCTCGACAAGGCTCAGGCGGCGGCACAGGAGGCCATCGACTGCGTGGTCGATGTCGAAGACGAGCTGCAGGTGCTCCAGGACAAGTGCGCCGAGGCGCGGGCTCGCGTCGGTGCCCTGGCAGGCCCGCAGCCAGGATGCTCCCCCACCCAGCTGCAAGCGGCACGCCAGGCCTTCGACGGCGTGGTCGGGGCTCTGGCGGCTCAGGGGGGCCAGTCGGCGCAGCTCGCTCAGGCGCTGGGGGTCGTCCAGCAAGTACTGTGCACCTTGGTGCCTGCGGGCGGCCTGGCAGCGGGGGCGCCCCCCCACTTGGCCGCGCCCCCGCCGCAGGCTGGCGGCTTGGCCCCTGCGGCGGGGGGGCAGCGGGCGCGCGACGGGGGTGCCGCCTCCTCGGCATCCCGCCGCCGCCGCACCTCAGGGGCTGCGCGGGCACCCTGCAGGTGCGAGCTGGGGCGAGCCCGCGGGCGATGGCGACGTGGACGTGGAGCTCGTCGATGCTGACCCTGGCCTGGTCCCGCCGCAGTTCCCCGCGCTGCCTGGCGACGAGAAGGTTGCCCAGGAGGTCAGGCGCAGGGCGGCAGCGATCGCGGGGCTCGATCTCAGCCAACGAGCTCAGGTGGCGGCAGAGACGGCGATCGGAGGCCCAGCGGCCGCGGCCCTCGCCCGCCGCCGCAGCCGCTCCTGCGCAGCGGACCAGGCCGAGACCGCGTCGGCCCCCCCCGCGGCGGGCCGAACGGGGGGGGCCACGGCCGAGGCGGGGAGGCAGCGGGGGTGGCGCCTTCAGCGACGGGCGGCGCAGCCCGTGTCCCGCAGCGGCGCCTCCGGCTGCGGCGGCGGAGAGCCCCCCGCGCCAGAGAGGCCCGTCAGCGACGGGCCCGCGCACATGGACGTTCACCACGTGCAACACGCTGGCGCAGCTGCCGGCACTTCCTGCAGGCTGAGGCTGAGGGAGATGCGGTGCGACTGCAGGAGATAGCGGTCGCCCCCGCTGACCGCGGCATGGCGGAGGCCTCCTAAACCGCCTCGGCTGGGAGACCGCGGTGGCGCCTGGCCGCGACACAGGCGGCGGCCTTTCGAGCGGCGTTGCGATCGCCGTCAGGCCGCGCCTCGGGCTCGGCGAGGCCCAACGTCAGGCGCCCGTGGCCTTCGGAGCGGGTCAGCCTCAAGTGGCCCAACGGGCTAGTCAAGGGGGGCAATCTCATGTGCTCGGTCTACCTGGTCTCGGGAGGAGGCATTGACGATGTCTCGTTCGGGGTGTTGAAGCAGCTGGGCGAGGCCTTGAGGGCCTTGGGGCAGCCCTTCATGGAATGTGGGGCCCACGGAGCTCATGGCGTCTGGGTGGGCGGCCTCGCTGGGGGCTGCCATCGCGTCGCCTGGGACTTACGCGTGCAGGGGCTCCGGGGCCAAGTGGCGCACGCTTGAGTATTTTCTCTGTCTGGAGTCATCGGTTGTTCGCGTCGGGAAGATGTTGCCACCGGCCCGCGTTGGGCTGTGCAGCTGCGGGTGTCTGGGGATCCCTCCTCCGTTCAGCTCCCTTCGTATAGGTTGCCCAACCAGGTCTTCTGGATCTTCCTGCGGGGGCTCGCCTGGCTGGGCTGGATTGGAGCTGCGTCGCCCAGGTCTTGGAGTCAGTCGCCACCTCGGGGGGGCTCGCCAATGGCTACCTCGCCTTTCGTGATCAGGCAGAGGCCGAGCTGTCATTGTTCCACGGCCTTTCGGATGAGGAGGCGAAGTCGCACTCTGGAAGGGGTCGCGGGGCCACGGTTGTTCGGCGGTCGGTCTTGCGGAAGTCAGGTGGAGCTTATCCCAGGGCCTCCTCTGAAGCTGGGGCGTGGAGAAAGATCTTGCGCCGTCTTCAGGGGCTTCGGTTTCTGGTCGGTCGCGGCCAGTCTGACTCTTCGGGCGCGCGGCATCTGTGCCGGAAGCTTTTCTCGTGGGCTGGTCAACTTCGCCCTTGTGCCGAATGGCTCGCGTTTCGGGCGTGGCTGTCGGAGCAGGCCCATTGGGCCTGAGCTAGACTTGTCCGACGCCATTCAGCATCTCACCCCGGTTGCGAGCACTCGAGAGCAGGCTCGCTGCGCAGAGGGCCAAGGACTGGAGGGAGACGGTCGCCCGAGCCGTGTGCAATGGAGGCGGGCTCGCCTGTCGCATCGCCCGCCAGCCGACCGAGTGGATCACAGACGAGGCCTCGGAGCGCCAGGGCGGAGCGCCCGCGGGCGCGGTTGGTCTCTTCAGGGACCTGGGGTCGGAGTGGGCATTTGGAGCTGGAGGTCGCCTGAGGAGGAAGCGCCAAGGATCCAAGCCGTCATCGCGCGTATCCAATGGCTTGACCCCCCCCGATAGATGTGCCCCCCCAGCCCCGACAGGCTACGCGGAGTTCTCAATGGCTTCAAACGATGGACGGCAGTGGGGGCTGACGGTTGGCACCCGTGCGCCCCCCAGCAGCTCGCCGATCAGTGCTTGGAGTGCCTGGGGCTTGAACACTGGAAGATCGAGGAGTTGATGTCGTTCCCTTTGCAGCTGTGGAAAGTCATCATTGGGTTTCTCCAGATGCCCGAAGGGGGGCGCAGACCGATTGGGATCCCCACCACGTTCCGCCGCGTGCTTGGGGCTCTTCGACGGGGCTCTGCCGTTCAGTGGGAGACCTCGTTTCCCCGTGGCTGAGCGTTTGGTATCAGAGGTGAGTCTTGCGAGTAGGCGTTGTGGAGGCAGGCGTTGGCGGCTGAGTGGGCCAAGGCCAATCGTCGGGCCCAGAGGCCAAGGCCAATCGGCTGAGGTGGTTTCCCACGTTCGGCTACTTCGGAGGGGCCAGAGGCTCCAGTTCAACCTTCGTAGGCTGGGTCTCCTCGTCATCATGCACTCGGGCCCGAGGGTCCGGCAGGTGGGGTCTTCACCTCTCAGGGCTCGTTTCGAATCCAGGGAATCGTCGCAGGCTGCGCCTTCGCCGCGACGCTGCTTCGCATGTTCCTCCTGCCCATCTTGGATGAGGTCGTCCGAGAGACCGCGCTCGCCGCGTGCCTGGTGGTCGACCTTTGCGCGCTGCCCTGCGCAGGCTGAGAGGACCACGTGGTCCGCATGCTGTCTAGGGGTACGCTCGAGCTGTGCACCTAATTGGAGCTCGATGGGGCTCAAGGTTTCTCGCAAGAGGTGCCAGCTCGCGGCGTCTTCCAGGAAGGCCCCCAAAACTTTTGATTTTCAGGTTGCGGGCATGGAGCATCCAAGGGGCTGAAGGTGTTAAAACCTCGGTGTTGATTTCTCGCTGGGCAAGCCTACTCGGGCCACGCAAGCGCGCGGGCTGTGCTCTATCAAGCGCCGGGTATATAGGTTTCGTTTGCTTCGGTCCGCTCGAAATGGCCTGAGTCAGATGTTCAAGTCTGGGGGGACCGCCGCCGCGTTTTGCGGGGCCAGTGTCGCGGGCGTCTCTACCAGAGTCCTCGAGAGCTTCAGGGCCACATCGGCCTCGGCCATCTTTGGCCCAGCTGCTGGTCGGTCTCGCGCGTTGCAGTTTGCGCTGTCGGCGGCCCCCAGAACGGATCCCGCCCATGCGGCCAACATGTTGCCGCTGCAGTTCTGAGGCCGAGCGGTCGTGGAGCTTTGGTTTTCGGCTTCGTTTACGGTTGGGGCCTTTAACGAGGTTTGCGAGGCCGTCTCCGACAAGGTCATGGGACCCTGTTCGGCCGTCTTGGCCACCCTGTCGCGCCCGGGCTGGAAAGCCTGCGGGCGGGGTCGGCGGGGGCGACGGGGGGGGGGCGGTGATTCAGCTTCAGAATGTGTGGCCTGCCACTCAGGTGAGGTCGTGGCCCTGGGCGCTGAGCGCGTGCTCATGGAGGGTCTGGCGGGGGCGCCGGGACTCGAACCCCTGCTCGGACCTCCCATGCTCGAGCCAGCGAGGCATGCCCAGGCCCAGCTTTTCCGAGAAGGTTTCAAAGAAGGAGCCGCCTGCCTGGCCGCGCGCGTCGCTGGAGGACCGCGGACGCATCATCGCCTGTTTCGCGCGCGCATCCGATTCAGCGAATTGTAAGGTCTGTGGCCAGGAGGCTGGCGACACTCCGCATAGGCTCTTCCGTTGTGACTTGTCCCAGAGGGATCGGGACAGCCCCGGTCTTGATGCAGAGCCCCGGGCTGGGGCTGCCTGCGCTTGTGATGACGCTTTGCTTCTCCGATGCCTTATTGGTTCCAAGGTTCGCTTGCAGCCGCCCCCCGACCAGTCGGGCCAGACATTCTCGGATGGGCCGCTTGCGGGGGGTCTTCACTGGCGCCGTTGCAATTGACGGTCGCATCTTAGACACCGATCTTCCGCTTTGTTCGAGAGGGGGCTGGGCGGTCGTCTCGGTCGATCAGCACGGCATATCGCAGGGTGCCTTCTTCGGTCCTCTCCCCACCGCCTTGCAGGTGATAGGCCTCGCGGAGCTCTGGGCTTTCTGTCAGTGCCTGTCTTTCGCAGTTGTGCCCGTCGCGGTCGTGACCGACTGCCATGCGACTGCCGACGGGGTTGCGGCTGGACAAGCTCGAAGTTTGCGTCCAAACCGACCCTATTCTGAGGTCTGGGATCGTATTTGGTTTAAGTTGGAGGACCTGGGGGCCGACGGCGTTTCGGCCCGCTGGGCTCCCTCCCGCAAAAGTTGGCCAGATGCCCAGAGACGGGGCGTGCCCTGGCCCGTCTTTCGAGGCAATGTTCTGGCGGATGAGTTCGCGAAGCGGGGGGCCAGAGTGCATCCCAGGGACGAAGACTGGGCCCGCGGGCGCGCGCTGGCCTGGTTGGCTAGCCGTCGCGTTGCGTACTACACTGGCCGTATCCTGCACCACTTGGCCTTTCGGATTTTCCGGATGTGGTCCGCCGGAAGGTGGTCAGAGCTTGCTTTGACGCGCTCGACCTAGTGTCGGACCCTCGGGGCCACCAAGTCAAGCTTGTGCGCGGGCGCTGGGCGTGCGTGTCCTGCGGTCGATCGGCCTTGTATCATGGCAAGGTGGTTTCTCGGCCGTGCCCTGGAGTCCAGACGTTTGTTTCGCGCCCATCCCTCCCATCGGTTGTGGTGGGCTGGGGGGCCCGCGCAACGAGTTGCTTGGTGCTCGCGCTGCGGAGCGCATGGGGCCCGGCAGTTGCTACAGATCGGCAGGCCCTGTGTCCCTGGGGCCGCCGCTCTTTGACAGCGCTGCATAAGGGCAAAGACCTTTCCTCGGGATCCCTCCTCGCTCGCCCCTTTCCTCTCCCCGTCGCGGGGGCCTCGGGATCTCGGTTGGGTGGAGGGCCTCCGCGCGGTCCTCTCGGAGGTCGAGGATCCCGAGGGTTTTTATCGGGCGCTGGGAGGGGGCGCTCCTCCAGCGCCCCCTCGTTTCGTTGGGCCTGCCCCGCCTGAGGCGGGCGGGATTGCCGTGGAGCCCTGAGCGGTGGCGGAAATGGCACTAGCGCCACCCGCGGAGGGCTTCCACTGTGGTCGAACTCGTGGGACTTGCTGGGGCGGTTCCTTCTGGGGCCGCCCCCAAAGGAAGGGAAAGGGAAAGGGGGGCCGAGGAAGAGTGAGGGAGGAACGCGGAGTATGAGGACGACGGCGATCAAGATATCCTCACTCCTCCCTCCCGAGACATCCCGCTGCTCCAATTTTTCCATGCGTGGGCCCCGGAGGTCTGGACCAGTTTCCTGGGCCTGTCTTTCGTCCTGAGTCGTTTTTTGACGGTCCCGAGGCTTGGCGAAGGCCCCCGCAGGCCGAAATCAGCAAAAACCGCCCGCTCTAATTATGTTTGACCGTCGGATCTCTGGGTCTTTCCCCCCGTTTTTCTTCTCTTTCCACCTTTTTCCTTTCTCCCTCCCTCCTCCCTCCTCCTCGGTTCTCCCTCCAGGGTCCAGTCTCTGGAGGCCTTCGGAGGTCTACGGGAAGGCTCTTGGAGGCTTCGGGAGGCCCAAGAGGACCAAAGACGCGCATCGCACAAACGCATGGACCTTCAGTCCTCCAGGCCCCCCCCTGGCGGCGTCTCCGGCGCCGCTCCTGTCGCCCTCCGCGCGTCAGGGAGGGGGGGTCCAGCGCACATCCAAGAAATCCGCGCGGACCTCCAAAAGCCAATGTCTATAACGTTGATTTTTTGTTCTGCTACAAACGGTTCCTCGTCGCACCACCAGACGTGTCGGTAGGGCGGGCTGGGCGTTTCGCCCGATATTTCTACTTTCCTTATGTTTCCGGATCTCTGACTTTTCTACAGCTATACGGATGTAGGTGATGATGTTCAGCACGTGGCTCTTGCCTTCGCGCCGCACACACAAGTAACATGGCTATATGATCTAGGGCCGGCTTTTCTCCCCCAAGTGTGGCTTTTTGCATCAGCACCGCGCGCATGTATCGTGAATGCTTCAACAGTCACAAATCACAGGGATGCCGGGCGGCTCCCTGTCAAGATGGAGCTCACGATAGCGACTTCTCGAGATCTTCGATCCGAAGTGTAATGCGTTCAACAGCTTCAAGGGTGGGAGTTGTTCATATAAAAGAATCGGTTCTCTCTGGACACGTCCTCACAATTACGTCCCGCAGTGAACATTGTGCAACAGTTGCATGGATGGAGGGTGGCCCACTCTCACAATTCGCTCGAGGCGTCCTCCACTTGGGTGGAGAGGGGCTCTCGCTGACGCCATGCAAGTTTTTGATCTTATCGCGTTGCTCATGACAGTTCCCCTGTGCCAGAACGGGGCTCTCGCCAGCACGGCAGTCCCGTGGGGCGTTCCTCCTTCAAAGGGGGTGCGCTGCGTGAGAAGGAAAGCCTACAGGGACCCACGTGGAGGGGACCCGGGACCGGAGGGTGTGCTGCTGCACCGCTGATACACTCGGGATCCTCGATCTGGACCCTCCTCCGTCCCCCTCTCCTTCCGTCATCGGTCCTCGATCATCCCCGATTTTCTTCGATCCCCCTCGGCCTTGATGCGTCTCCTCGACCCCCCCCCCGCCTCGATCGTCCCTCCTTGTCACTCCCCCCTCCTCGCTGGGTTCGCCCTCCCTCGCCCCCGGTGAGGGAGAACTCGAGTTGGATGTTGATGCGTTGTCTGAGAAGGTTCTTCCTCATCGGAGTGCGCTCCGCGCTTCTGCACGGCCCCAGGGCTGCCCCGAATACAACATCATGTATTTGTCATACGCCCCGCCTGTGCTGTCTGTTGGCATCCCTCGGCCACTAGAGATCCCTGAGGTTTGGGAGTGGGGTGACCTGGGTGGCGCTTGGGGCCCTGTCGTCTTCGGCGATGGGAGCGCTCAGGGATCTTCGGTGACAAAGGTGCGCCGGGCTGCTTGGGCCATCGTCCAAATTGGCACGAACCTTCTGCCTGTGCGAGCCCTTGACGGGGGATATGGTTGGACCCCTTCAAGAAATTGGTCGTGCTGAGCGCACGGCGGCGCTCCAGGCTTTCCGTGCCAATCCCAACCTTCAGGTTTTTGCCTCCGCCCTGTTGTCCCTTGTGCGTGAGGGACAGAGTTGGGACTCCGAGTTGGCTCGGGGCATGCAAAAGTCTGCTGGGGTCCTGAGGTCTATCTTCGCTCAGTGTGAACGGCGATCCGCCGATGACCCCCCCTCTTTCGTTTGGACCCCCGCTCACCTCTCCATCGAGCAAGCCTACGAGCGGGGATGCGAACTTGTTGCGAGGGTAGGTAATGTTCGGGCCGACTACTTCGCCAAATTAGCCTCCCGTTGGGTCATGGTCTCCCAAGGGTGTTGCAAGGCCATCGAAGCCGAACTGCAGTTCCATAAAGTCACTCTCCAGTATGTGTCGTGGGCGGCTGCTAGGGTAGCACGGCTGGGACGGTGGACAGACATCTCCCCTCCGCTAGCCCCCACGCCGCCTGCTGCAATCAAGCTTTCGATCCACGTGCATTGTTTCATACTTGATTCGCGTTCGGGGGAGGTTTGATGTAAGTTTTGCTTCGTCGGAGCTCGTTCGGCCGGCACGTTCGCACACCTTTGCAACCCTGCCAAAAAGTGTGCAGGCGTAGCTCGCTCTCGGCCTGGAAGGCTGATGAATGGCTCCGCGCTGTGGGGCTTCACGCCCATGCCCTTCAGGCCGAGGCGGTCGGGGTAGCGCTCGCAGCGGCTGATGCTGCTGGCTACTCCTCTTCCGCCCCCTCCGAGCCTCCTGCTGTGGCTGCTGCGGGTCCTCCTGCCCTCCCGCCTCCTCCTCTGGGGTTTGGGGCCACGGTACTGCAGGAGTTTGGCGACCGCGGCCACACGATGGCGCAGATCGGTCGTGTGTGCATTTGCACCGTCTGTTCTGGCTTCCTGGTTTTGCCTCACGGGGTCCCGAGGTCCCTCCGTCCTGTCTGGGGCCCTCGGTGGTTCCGTCCACTCGGGACAAGCAGAAAAAGGAGGCTGGCCAGGGCAATGGCGGGCCTGCATCCAGCTCCAGGGAGTTCTCTGGACAGATTCTCGGCCCCGCGGACGCGCACTCTTCCTTCGTTGCCGAACTGCCTTACGTGTGTGCCGTCACCTTCTTCTTTATGCTAGCCAGTAGTTGTCAGTCTCGTGCTTACGACCCTTCTGTCGGCGCCCACCACCCCACCACCTCCTCCTCATCCTCCTCCTCCTAAGTAGCTCCCTTCCTCCGCCTCCCTGGCGATTCTTCCTCGGACACGGCGCGAGCGCCGCCAGGCCTCCCGCGCGTGTTTGCGCACGCCAGCGGGGGTCTGCCGGGCCAGAGCGCGTCTGCGTTGCGCGCCCGCACGACCACAGCCGCAGTGCAGGGCGCGCTCGGCGCGCCTCGCAGGCCCGAGCACGGCTGCAGGGTGCGGAGGCGGCGTGGCGCGTGCAGTTCTGCTCTCTCCTGAGACACTGGAGCCCGAGCCCGAGTCAGAGTCAGAGTCAGAGTAGAGTCAGAATCCTAGTCCTAGTCATAGTCATAGTCATAGTCATAGTCATAGTCATAGTCATAGTCACAGTCACAGTCATAGTCATAGTCATATTCATAGTCATAGTCATAGTCATAGTCATAGTCCTGGTCAGAGTCCTAGTCCAAGTCCTAGTCATAGTCATAGCCATAGTCGTAGTCATAGTCGTAGTCGTAGTCCTAGTCCTAGTCCTAGTCCTAGTCCTAATCCTAGTCCTAGTCCTAGTCCTAGTCCTAGTCCTAGTCTTAGTCATAGTCCTAGTCCTAGTCCTAGTCAGAGTCCTAGTCCTAGTCATAGTCATAGTCATAGCCATGGTCATAGTCGTAGTCGTAGTCCTAGTCCTAGTTCTAGTCCTAGTTCTAGTCACACACCTAGTCCTAGTCCTAGTCCTAGTCACAGTCACACACCTAGTCCTAGTCCTAGTCATAGTCATAGTCATCGTCATCGTCATTGTCATCGTCATAGGCATAGGCATAGTCATAGGCATCGTCATAGTCATAGTCATAGTCATATTCATAGTCATAGTCGTAGTCGTAGTCATAGCCGTAGTCGTAGTCGTAGTCATAGTCGTAGTGATAGTCGTAGTCGTAGTCGTAGTCATAGTCCTAGTCCTAGTCCTAGTCCTAGTCATAGTCATAGTCCTGGTCGTAGTCATAGTCGTAGTCATAGTCAATAGTCGTAGTCATAGTCATAGTCCAGTGCTCCTCCTCCTCCATCTGGGCCCGCCCCTCCGACAGGAGCTGAAGGGCGCGCAGGACGGCGAGAGGGCCGCCCTGGAGGCCGAGGTCACCCGGCTGCGGGAGCTGTACGAGCCGAAGGAGAAACTCCAGCGCCTCCGCCGGGGACTGGCCTCCCTCGGGAGGGGGAATAAAACACACAGACACAATTCATCAGCGATTCCCAGAAAATATGGGAAAATGTGGGAAGTGGGGGGGAAGACAAAAACCCAGAACATATAGGAAAATCTGGGGGATATTTTTATTTGTGTGTATCTATTTGTGTATCCCAATTCCCCTTCACTCCCTCCCTCCCTCCCTGGTGCCGCCGCTCCTCTCCCTCCCGCTCGTATTTCTCCTCCTCCTCCTGCTCTTGCTCTTCCTCCTCGGCGTACTCCTCCTGCCTCTCCTCGTTGCATTCGCGATGCGCTCCAGAAGGGGATTGACCTTGTTCGCACGCTCGAGCGCGGCTTGTGTCCAGGCAATTCTGCCTGAGCCCTCGCGTTCAAATAATTTCTGGGGCCCTTTGGGCCTCGTGACGGGTGCTCCAGAGGCCGTGGGGGTCTCCATTGACGGAAGAATGCCAAGGTCTGCTTGGCAGAGTTTTTGCAATATAATATGGGACCGCCCCTCCCTTTACTCGCGGACTGTCGCGTGCATTGCCCTGCTCACCGAGTTCACTTCCTCCGTGGGCGCTCGAGGATGGTGAACTTCCAGCGTGGCAGCGAATGTCTGAACCCTCATTCCACGCGTGTCCGCTTCAGGATGGTGCACTTCTCCTGTCGGGGCGGACCGAAGGGGGGGATACTGAGGTGGGGATGCGAATCAGCTGAGAGTAAATGGTCTTCCTGCCGCCCCAAGTGCCGGAGGTCCTCATGTATCGAGGAGGAGCGATCGGCGGCGGGACCGAAGCCAGCTGCATGCAGCAGGTTTGAAATACGCTCCATTCAAAATCCCGTCCTTTCCCAGACATCCGGCGCCGTGTTGTTTCACAATGTGGCTGCCCAGAGGTCTAGACGGATGGGGTTCACTATTTTCAGTTGAAGCTTCAAGATGTTTTAACGGTTCAAGAAGATATCCTCTGAGGGTTCAAAGAAATTGTTTCCAGCCCCCGAGGCGCGATCCGTGTGAGGGGTGTGCAAACATTGGCCCACGGACGCGGGTTCGAGGCCCCAGCGTCCGCCGATCCCCCCAAGACGGCACAAGAGGTCCCCAAGGCGGCCCCAAGACGGTCCCAAGATGGCCCAAGAGGGCTCCAAGACGGCCCAAGGGGACCCCAAGACGGCCCAAGAGAGGCTCCTGAGGGCCCCATGGGTTCCCAAGAGAGCCCCAAGAGGGCTCCAGGAAGTCCCCAAGAGGGCCCCAGAGGTCCCAAGCCCCTTCAGACGACCCAAGAGGGCCCCATGACGGCCCAAAGGAGCCCCGAACGCACCCCCAAGAAGGCCCAGAGAGGCCATAGGTATCCATGGATTTTCGCAGTGTTGGTTGTTATTTGTTGTATGACGTGCCAAAGTCGTAACACGCCTTCACAGAGTACGAGTGCTCTCCGTCTCCGTGCCAAGCAGGTCTAATGACCTTCGGCCCATCCCGCAACTGTGCCTGGGTCGTGGGCCATAGGCTTCTAAAGACTCGGACTTTTGGTTCGTGTTCCCCCTCTTGAGCCCTTCTGGGGGCTTTCTTTGGGCGCCCTTGGGCCATCTTCCGCGTCTCTGAGGCCGTCTTGAAGCCCTCTTGGGCCGTCTTGGGGCCCTTTTGGGAGCTTCCCCCTTCTCCTCCTCCTCCTCCTCCTCCTCCTCCTCCTCCTCCTCCTCCTCCTCCTCCTCCTCCTCTCCTCTTCCTTATGAGCAACTCCTCCCTGTCGCACCCCGAGGCGGGTCGGAAGGGCTGGCTGGCCGGTTCGCTTGAAATTCCCACACAAAGTGCGATCCTGAAGCCTGTTATGTATAACAGTTTTACGGATGGAGGGCGGCCCGCTTTAAAAAAATGTGGCTCTCGTTTTAGCGCCGCGCTTGTGAAATAGATGCACAAGTTTCACGAATTTGAGGGCGGTTCCTTTTCAACATGTGGCTCTCGCCTTAGCGCTGCGTGCACTCGTCTTAAACACATGCACGAGGTTCACGGATGGAGGGTGGTTCCTTTTCATTGTGTGGCTATTGTTTTATCGCCGCGCACATTACTTGGCAACATTTTCAAGCGTTTCGCTGTAGGGCGGTTTCTGTTCAACATGTGGTTATCGCCGAAGCGCCGCGCGCATTCGTCTTAAGAATTTGCAGCAGTTTCGAGGCTGACCGTGGTTGATGTGCAAGAAAAACTATTTTGGCACGATGTCGGAATGTCAGGCCGCAACATTCACGTTGATTCTCGGTGTTGCAGCCCCCGAAATAGCTGTTTGGTGCGATTCATGATCTCCAAGACGCAACAAAAAGGGTCGGTCATTCGCGGCGTTGACGTCCCAGGAATGGTGCTCTGGCACAGTTCACCAGCCTCGAACGTATCCCTATCCCTAAGATTGACGCGCTAAAAGGAGATGACAAATCTCAGGGATACACCCTCAGAAACTGAGGAAAACCCAGGGATACACCCTCAGAAACTGAGGAATTCCCTAAGGTCGCCATCGTGATGAGGCGATGCCCAACATAGGGATAGGGATATGTTCCAGGCTGGTAAACAGTTCCAGATTTTCAAACGGTTGTCTTTCACTGGAGCATCTCGTTTAGTGAGAATCACTCATTGTAGGGGCCTGTGCAGATGGAACTTGGAGTGAGGGTGTACTGCAATATCGTTGATGAGTCTTGGGTTTGCACTGGTCCTCTTCCTCCTACTCGTCCTCCTCACGCTTTCGCCGGCAGCTCAATTGGAGCAGTCCAATCCAATCCAATCCAATCCTTCTCCCCCCCCGTGTCCCCCCGCGTGCTCCCCCTCCGTGCCCTTGCACCGCCGCCGGGGTGAAGGGGCAAGCAGAAGCAGGCGGCCATGAGCGCGATCGACCAGATGGCCCTCGCACCCCCCTGCCAGGAGGAGTAGGAGGAGGAGGACGAGGAGGACGAGGGGGAGAGCGAGGGGGAGGAGGGAGAGGAGAAGGAGCAGGCTGGGCATGTCTCTGGCGATCGCAACATTAGCGACGGGTCCCGTTTCCATGGAAAGTCGCGGGTTTCCGCCGCCGAGCGAGGCGGCACCGGCCGCATTTGGGGAGGGTACCTGCCTCGATCCATGGAATTGGCGACCGCGCGCCAGCGGAGGAGGAGGAGGAGGAGGAGGAAAACCAGAGTCAGTACAGGATGCACCTATGATGTTGCAATGCGCCCTCCTGTCTCAAGTGCCCTCCACAGAAGTCCCTGCCAGGATTGCTCTTCACTGCCAGAAGCGCCCCCGTGAAAGGTCATAACCGCACGGGCCTGCCATTGAGGCGGGAGCCCCGTCTTGAACCGGACTTGCCTTTTATCCGTTGAACGTATTGCCAGGAGGCTCATGGTGGGCAGGGGCGGTGGCGTCCATACTTCTCACCTAGCTCCCTGAGTCCACATGGGTGCGGTAAGCATGATGATACACTTCGAAAAGGTTCGCGGCGAGATCCCCGTTCTGAAATGATACCGCCCCACCTGTGTAACTGCGGCACAGAATTGCGTCTCTGGCCGTGGGCTTCGAGAGCGTGTCGAGCGAGAGCCCCACTCTGAAAAGGGCGCCGCTCTCCAGCCGTGCTGCTGATGCGTATGTTCAAGTTTTTTGTTGAAGCAGTGCGAGTAGCCCTCCGATACTTGTTTGTGATGCGTCCTCTGGCCTCCGCCTTTCCTCCTCTTCCTCCTCCTCTTCCTCCTCCTCCTCCTCCTCCACCTCCTCCTCCGCCTTCTCCCCCGCCTCCCCCGCCTCCTCCTCCTCCTCCTCCTCCTCCTCCTCCTCCTCCTCTTCCTCCTCCTCCTCCTCCTCCTCCTCCTCCTCCTAGTGTTTCTGCTCCTTCCTCCTCGTGCCGGTCCTGTCTCAAGATTTTCAGTGGCAGTGCGAGTGCCTCGGCGTGCTGCTTCTCACTCACTTGCTTCGGTCATCAGCATCGTTTAGCCGACCCCCATCCCCATCCTCATCCCCTTCCAGACCCCCCACCAAATTACCACCCCAGTTGGGGATACACCCCTGGAAACCCGAAGAGAGCGGCCTGTATCCCCATCTAGGGGGGTAAACCAGCCAGGGGGCCCAGGCCACGCCGCTGGGGATGGGGATCGGTTAAGCAAAGCTCAGGTCAGGGGCGCTCGCCCGCAGGCATGTGGGTCAGGGGCGCTCGCCCGCAGAAGCCCCGCGGTGAGCATGAACCGTCCTCCACCCACGTAGATGCTGCAGGCTCGTGAGCCGCACCCTCGCGGCGCTGAGGCGAGGGCCCGTTTTGGAAAATGCCCCCCGCCCCCTATCCCGTCCATCCTTGACGCTGGTGCGCAAATGTGCGCGGCGCTGGGCGAGAGCCCCGCTGTGAAACGAACCCGCCCTCTATCCTTGAAGCTGCCGCAAGCTTTCAAGACGAACGTGCGCGACCACAAGGGTAGAATCCCATTCTCAGAACGACGTGTGCTCCATCCGTGAAATTGTTGCAAGGTGTTCTATATGAGTGTGCGCAGCGCTAAGGTGAGAACCCTGTTTTACCCCCCATCCATCCTCGAAGCTGTCGAGTGTGCGCGGCGCTCAGGCGACAGTCCCAGTTTGAAAGCCCCTGACCCGTCCTGGAAGCTGCTGCGCACTTACAAAACGAACGTGAGCGGCGTCAATGCGAGATCCGCATTTTGAAAGCGACCTGTGCTTCTTTTATCTGCGAAGCTGCTGCAATATGTAAGCTTCCAGTCGAAACGCCTTGTCAGCCTACGGACACGTCTGGGGGCGCGACAGGATTGCGCGTTATTTATCACAACAGGGATGCAGGAGGACGAGGAGGAGGAGGAGGAGGAGGAGGAGGAGGAGGAGGAGGGGGAGGAAGAGGATGCGGAATGACCCATCCGCCTGATACTCCTACTGGCCCTCCTTCTGTGCTCATCCCCCTCCGCGCGTCGGAGGACAGCGTTCGACGCTCGCCTGCTCCGACGCGGCAGCCCCGCTGTGCAGGCGCGGCTGGAGCTCAGAGCCGCTTCAGCCAGTGGGATCCCGAGCCCGCCTGAGCATCGGCGCCGACGGGGGGGATTGGCCTGGGGGAGAGCCGAAGCCTCAGGCGCACACGCCTCTCGCCGATCGGGGCCAGGGTGCCGCAGCATGTCCAGGACCCTGTTGGGTGCCCCGTCGGGGTTCCGTCGCCGATCCATCGGCGACGTCTCGTGGATTCCATGCCACTGTCTCCCAGGAGGAGGAGGAGGAGGAGGAGGAGGAGGAGGAGGAGGAGGAGGAGGAGTCCGTAGCCATTTTGGCTCAAGCCCCACGTCCCCCCTTGGGGATCTCGTGGGGTTTGGGCATCCGTATCCATTTGCTCGAAGTGCTCGCGCGCCCTCGGCCGCGCGCACCTCGCGCGTGGGATGGGGCTCGGTGTGCGCGAGGCCGCCGTCCTCGTCGAGCCGGCGGTCCGCGCGGCTGCCCTCACCATGGCGCCGCCGCGCTCCCTGGCCGCCGTCGCCCGTGCGGCCGTGGCGGCCGCTGCGCTTGGCGCGGTGCCTGGAGATGCTGGTGGCGCTGGACGCGTTTGTCACGTGGTGACGGACCTCCTAGCGGTGGCGAGGTGCCCGCGCCCGCGGCTCGTGCCGCGCGGCGCAGGCGCCGCCGCCGTCGCCGTGCCGTGCGGCGCGCGGCTGGCGACGTGCCTGCGGCCCCCTCTGCTGCGGCCGCGGCCGAGCCCGACATGGAGGTCGACGGCGATGACGTGCTGGACGACGCCTGGGCTGACGGTCTCCCTCCTCGGGTTTCGCGTCGGCTCGGCGGCCCAGCGGCGATCGCGGCCGCGGAGCCAGCTGGTGCGGCCGCTGCGGCGGCGCCGACGGCTGGCGGAGCGGCCCCCTCGGCGGATGCTGCCGCTGCTGGTGCGGCGGCGGCGGGTGGTGACGCGGCGCCCGAGGCGTCGGCCTTGGCGCTGTTGGTGTCGCCATCCGCGGCTTCCGCTGCCGCCGACATCGTGGAACCCGTGCTGGGCGAGTCGGCGGAGCGGGCCGCGCTCATCTCGGCGTGGGTCCGCACGCCTGGGGCGCGCGTGGCAGACTTTCAGCCGCACTACGCCGCTCGACTGTGCGGACATTCGCGCGTGAGCTGCCGGCGCAAGGTCGCGTGTGAGCGCCTTGTGATCGACATCTACCATCTCGACTCGCGTAAGACACGTTCATCTGGCGGGGGACGCACCCGCGTCAGTCGCCCCGGTGGCGCCGTTTTCGTTGGCGGCCCCCGCGCACAATTAGCGCACCTGGAGGCTGCGGAAGGGGGGCAGCTGTCACGCGCATCGCCTGCAGAGCTGCTCTCTCCTTCATCCTGCAGCCGCTCGTCACGATGAGTGAGCGGCTCGCGGCAGTGCGGCAGCGGCAGTGCGGTGACAATGATAGCCGGCGTGCTGTCGGCATTCAATGCCTGAGGTTTTTACGTCCAGCGCTGCGCTAGACAGAGTGCTCGCGGTTGTGATGGTTTGCGGAGGGCGAGGAGGAGGACGTGGACGAGGAGGGCGAGTAGGACGAGGACGGAGGAGAGCGGAGGACGAGGAGGAGGAGGAGGAGGAAGAACGCCCACCTCCTTATCTTTCTCCATCCTCCCTCCGCCTCTCTCTGCCTCCCTCCCCCCTTCCGCTTGCTGCCTCTTCCTCCTCCGCTCCGCTCTGCTCCCTCCCTCCCTCCCTCCCCTGTTCTTCCTCCTCGTTCCTCGTCCTGCTCCCAGCTCCGCGTCCCTCCCCGTGCGGCCGCAGTCGCACGACGCGAAGATGCGCGAGCTCCACAACCGCATCGACGAGCTCCACCAGGACCGTGTGGCGGGAGAGGCGCCGCAGGCCTCTCCCTCCTCCCTCCCCTCCTCTTGTCGCGGGTCCGCCGGGGGATGTCACCCCCTCCTCCTCCTCCTCCTCCTCCTCCTCCTCCTCCTCTCCCTCATCCTCCTCCTCCTCCTCCGTCGGTCTTTCTCCTTCTCCGCCTCCTCCTCCTCCTCCTCCTCCTCCTCCTCCTCCTCCTCTTTTAAGTCCTCCTCCCTCGTCCCCGTGGCAAACCACTGCGAAAGCACAGCCTCTCGGAGGTCCGCACGGACCTCTGGGATCGGCGCTGGAGGCACTCTTCAGATGTTTGCTTCGGTGTTTGTATACGTGTGTATGTGATCGCCCCAGTGGCAGGGTCCGCGGGGCAGCGGCAGTGGTCGTTGGCACCAAATAGTGCCACTCGGAGCCCTCTTCCCCATTGCTGTGTGATGTCTGATGTACGTCGTTCAACGAGTGGCGTGATAGTTAAATTCGATGCACCTCTGTGTGGGGTGACGCTTAGTATTTTACCTGGGCGCGCTCTTCCGACACGTAGTCTAATCTTCCTCAACCTCCCTTCTCTTCCTCGGTCCTGGTCCTCCTCCTCAATCTCCTCCTCGTTCTCGTTTCCCTGACCTTTACTTGAAACAATTTGAGGTGTACCCAGTTCCAGGGTAAGGCCTAGAGGTTCGTGGGTCTGCCACGCGACAAAGATCGAGTCGTCGGAGGTCTCGTGAGTGATTGTGGGGAGCGAGGGGATGGAGGGGAAGAGTGGCAAGGAGGGGAGGGTGCGTCTTCGGGGTGGGGGGTGCGGCGGAAGAAGGAGGGTCGGGGCACGCTAGGCTCTCGCGCGGGAGTCGAGAGGAGCAGGAGGAGGCTGTTCGCTTTCTAGTGTCCTGACGTACTGGCATCGTGACATTCACATGTTTGCTTTAACATGTGTGCGAGAAAGAGAGTGGGAGAGAGAGAGAGAGAGCAAGACGCTTCCCACGGGCCTAGCTCATCCGTGGCCCCTGGCCTCTTGAGGATACCGGCCGCTGCAGAGCGGACTCCAGCTTGTTATACCTGGCGGGGTTTGATGAGATCAATCGTCTTCTCTTTTCAAGGGCACAGTCGATTTCGATCCGATCGATACGATTCGATGCCGATATTTCCAGCCTGATCCGATTCGACTCAGCTCGTCCTAAGATCCGATTCGGCCCGACACGTGATGCTGCGCATACTGGCGTGGCCGACCCGGCCGGATTCTGACCTCGTGCCGAGGCAGCCCGATCCGATGCCGAGTCGATCCGTGCTCCCAATCCGATGCTGACCGCTCCTGCAGGGCCTGCTCTTTCCAGGGGCCGCTGTCCTGCCATGCGAGGAGGCACGAGCGAAAGCACCTCGTGCAAGCAGCAAGAGCACGGCGTCTGAGGAGGAGAAGGCGGAGGATGAGGAGGAGGAGGCGGAGGAGGAGGAGAGAGGAGGGAGGAGGTGGATGAGATTAAGGAGGAGGATGAGGAGGAGGCGGAGGAGGCGGAGGAGGAGGAGGAGGAGGAAGAGGAGGAGGCACGAGCAAGAGCACTTCGTGCAAGCGGCAAGAGCCCTGCATCCGCCGCCGGCGTCGTGCCGCCTGGCGCTTCGCTGCACCTCCCCCGGCGGGGGCTGGGGGAGCGGGGGGGCCGCGAGCGGGGCAGGGGCCGACCTCCACAGGCGCAGGCAAGGCGCTGAAGCAGGGACCACCTCAGGCTCGGGAGGGGCTCGGGGCTCTCGGGTCGGGAGGGGCAAGAGCTGGCTCGGCAGGCGCAGTCAAGACGCCGAAGCAAGGACCACCTTGTGATCGTGTTCTCCCTCGTTGTTTTGCCGATCGGCGTGGCCCTCGCACGCCGCCCCCCCCCCCTTCCCCACCCCCCCCGCCCCATGGAGCAGCTCTTGGCTGTTTCTGGCGCCCGTTTCGAGCAGGTGGAGTCTCCCCCAGAATGGACGCCCGGTTGCAAGCAGTCGCGCTGAGCAGAGGTCCGGAGCCAGACCCCCCGCCCCCCTCTCCCCCTTGCCTCCCAACGTCGAGACGCCGAATAAGAAAACGCTCGAACCTCGGCTCAGGAGGGGCTCTGGTTTCCGGGCCGTGCCTTGGGTCCAGGTCGGCGTGGCCTCGTGGGGAACCCTGGAGCCTCTCGGGGCCCCCCCTCGCGGCTCGAGGCCTCTCGGGCGTCGCCTCTGGGGGCCCTCCTCGAGGGGCTGGAGGGCTCGTGGTGGAGGCTCGAGGTTCCTCCAGAGAGAGAGCCTCCTCGTGGCAGAGGCTCGCCCGGAGCCAGGAGCGCCGGTTCGTTCCTTCCTTGGCGTTCCTCGCGCTACCGTCGGCCCGCACAGTATTCCTTGGCATCGCTCGGACGTGTGCATTTTCCTTCGGCGAGGGCCACCGATGAGAAGGCGAAAACCCACCCCCACCCCCAGTCCCGACGCCCACCCCCGAGCCCGCGATCTGGGGGGTCGGGACTGGGGGTGGGGGTGGGTTTTCGGGGTCCAGGAATAGGGAAAAACCCACCCCCACCCCCAGTCCCGACCCCCCAGATCGCGGGCTCGGGGGTGGGCGTCGGGACTGGCGGTGGGGGTGGGTTTTCGCCTTATCAACCGAGGAGCATCCTTGATCATTTGGCGAAAAAGCCACACATGAAGCCGAAGATAACACAAGGAGTGGACGTCCGAGCGACGGGGAGGTAAGGATGATCGACTTTTCGAGGGTACTCCTGGTTTCTTAATAAGCGTGGGGGTGGTGGTACCCCCCGACGGGGGTCAACCTCGCCTCGTCGTCGCGCCGCGACGGGCGTCGGAGCGCCTTCGGCGCGCGGTGGCTACCCGCGACGGGGGTCGGTGTAGGGCTGTCAGCGGGGGTGACGCCCACCCGACGCTTGTTAAGAGACTCGGAGTACCCTGGCATCCTTGCCGCTTCGGCCCCTCCTTGGCGAAATTCGCTGGCCAGCCTCGCTCGAACAAACTGTAACATGGCCCTTCAAGGTCCTTGGCTTTGCATCCTTACTGCGCATCCTTATTACAAGGGTTGACTGTACCACGCTTCCAGGAGCGTTGGATCTCACGGCCTGGTCTGGACTTGGCCGCCACTCGGTGGGCCTCAGAAGGGGGCGAATGGCTGAGCATGTCAGTGGCCTCGTCCGAAGGAGCGCCTGGTCGCACACAAAACCGTTATCGTAGCGCTTTGCTGAGCGCCGTTCCAGGTGCCCCAGCAGGGTCCAGCCAGCCCTGGTCCGGCCGGCTCGATGCAAGTTGATTCTGATATTCCAGCGATCCGCGGCCCGATGCTTACATGGAACTCTTGTACACCCTGGAGAGCTATGACGTCAGACTGGGGCGGTAAACGCTCGGGAATCGTCGTTGGAGGAAGCATATCAGGAAGGAGTGCGCAAGAGGAAGGAGCGAAGGGGGGCATCTGGTCGGTGCCCGGAGGCCTCCAGAGTATCAACCAGAGACGTGTCAACGATGTCGTAATAAAACTTTCCTGTCCCAAGTCTCCTCCTCATAAGCACACGCCGGTCGTTGAAAGTAGGTATTTTTGGATTCCCAGATCCCAATCTACGTCAAGCGCCTTCCTACGCGCTTTTTGCTGTGTTTTGTTATTCTCTGGGGGGGTCTGGACCCAATCAACTTAGTCCGCCTTCCTACTTCATGTTCTTACCTACTTCTGCCGACCGACGTGTCCTCATAAGCGTTAATTGCCATTGCGCGCCGAGTTCCCTTGGAAGACGGTGCCCCGTGCGCCCGCAGGGCAGGCGGGGGCTCCGCTGTGTAGAGGGGCTGCCTGCCACCCGTCGAGCGATCAGGAGTGCAGCACTGGGAGCAGGACGTCTCGAGAGGTGTCCAGCGGCATCTCCGCTTTTATCAGGAGGAAAAGAAACACACACAGACACAATTAATCCTCGATCCTCCAGAAAATATGGGAAAATATGGGAAGTGGTGGGGAAGACAAAAACCCAGAAAATATAGGAAAATATGGGGAATATTTTTATTTGTGTGTATTTATTTGTGTGTCCCAGGGCCCCCTCATTTTCTTAGAAGGAGCAGGCCTCCACCCGTGTAGCTTTTGCACGACTCCCTGCTTCTGGCGTTTTATGGCCTGAAGAGAAGCTTCAAGCGAGAGATCAATGTCGGACAAGGACCGCCCTCCATGGAAATGCTGGGGCAAGTGTGCGCGGCGCCACAGCGCGAACACTCTTTTGAACAGGAACCTGCATCCATCTGTGCCGCCATTCAGTTTTTGCTGGACGAATGTGTGCGGCGCCAAGGCGACAGTCCCATTTGTCCCCTCGCCCGTGTTATTATTGGCGTTTCAAGGTTTCAATCATTTTGCAATCCATGAGGGAGTCTCAGGCGAAACGCCCGGTCCACTCTGAAGACACGCCTGGCGGTGCGTCAGGGGAGAGGAGATGTCTATACAGGAGAGGGATGGGGGAGGATGCGGAGGAGGAGGAGGAGTGGGCGAGGAGGAACGAGTGGAGGAGGAAGAGGAAAAGGAGGAGGAGGAGGTGCAGACGGGCCAGGACCCTCAAGTAAGTATTTCCTATGTGAGCGGAGTCTGTTGCGCGTGACCAGCTCTCTCCGCTGCGGTCTCCCCCCCTGCTCGCGAAAGGAGGAGGTGGAGGCGGAGGAGGGGGAGGAGGAGGCGCAGCAGGAGGAAGGAGGCGAATAGTGATCGTTTTCTGATTCGTTGTTTTGCCGATCGGCGCGGGCCCTCGCCCCGCCTCGTCCCCCCCCAGGGAGCAGGTCCTTGGCTGTTTTCGGCGCCTGTTAAGCAGGTGCAGTCACTCCCATCGGATGCACTGTTGCAAACAGTCGCGTGAAGCAGAGGTCTTCAGCCAGACCCCCCCATTCCGCCCCCTTCCGCCCAATTCCGAAACGTTCATATAGGAGTGGCGGTCGAGAACGATGAGGAACATCCGGAGGGGGAAGAGGAGGCGGAGAGGTCCCTCCCGCAATCATCGCAAGCGTGCGTGACATGTTCTCCAAGATGGCACCCCCTCCACGCCACCCGCTAGCGCGATCTTTGCCCCCCACGCCCCGTCCTACCCCTCCACGCGGCCCTCGCCCTGACGCGCAGCGGCGTAAGGCCGCGATCGTGTGAGGGTGGACGATCCACGCGGTGTCGCAGGCCAAACCCCGACGTCATCGCGTAGCGAACCCGCCGCATTCGCGCAGCGAGGTCTCCGGAGGTCTTCCGAAGGCCCTCGACGGCGCTCGACGGCCTCCGACGTCATCGCGGCGTGAGCCTTCCGCATTCCCAGACGCCCGACGACGTGTTTTTTTTCCTCGTTCTGCGGCCCCAGCGTTTCGGACCCCTCCCTTGGGGGTACAGTGGAGACCCATGCCAAGAAGCACCCTGCTTGGCTCCAGGGTGCCCCCTGGGTTTCTTGGGGTTCGATGGTTTTGCGGTGGAAAGCGCGAGGTTCCCACACCAAGAATCAATGGACGTTCTGGGGTCTCAGGATTGGGTTTCTTGTGGAAGGTTTCTTGTGGACTGGCCCCCACTGTAGCACCTCTCGCGGCGACCCCAGGAGAACGACGCGCTGAAGCACGACCTCCAAGACGCCAGGGCGAAGAAGACGACGGCGGAGGACGGGTTCACCGTTTCAACACTCGGCGGCGAGCGAGGGGGGGAAGTGAGGAGGGGCGGGCCTCCTCCGAAGGCTCGGAAGTCCCCGGGCTTTTTGAGATATTTTGCCCGAGCCTCCCTCGAGGACGCGGGCAGCTCCTCATCTCAGGCGCGGGGGCTCCCGAGAAGTCCCGCCGCCGTCCGAGAAGGCCCTCTCCTTCTCGCTCCCCGCCCCTCGCTTGCCGGAGAACTGCGATCGATCGGGTTCGGTATTGATTTCGGGCCGAGGAGGAGGAGGAGGAGGAGGAGGAGGAGGAGGAGGAGGAGGAGGAGGAGGAGGAGGAGGAGGAGGAGGGGGAGGGGGAGGGGAGGGGGAGGAGAGGAGGAGGAGGAGGAGGAGGAGGAGGAGGAGGAGGAGGAGCTTCCGCCGGTGCGCTCTGCGGCCCGATGCCTGCCGTGGTGGTGCTGTGCCTCTTGCGCGGCCGCTCTGATCCGTGCCGATGCGGCCCGGCTCGATGCGCGTTCCGATCCGATCCGATTTTCGGGAGGAAAAGAGGGGGGTGCTGACTAGGGGGGGGTGGATATCATGGCGGGGCCATGATATTTCCCCAGATTTCATGGCGCCTCTTCGTATTTCATTACGTCCCTGGCCCCCTCGCTGGGCCGCGCACATGCCGCCGGTCATGATTTGCGCCCCCCTCTTGGCCGCTCCCGAGATTTCCCGCTTCGATGCTGACTGATCCTGCGGAAGACGCTTGGGGAGGGACCCTCAGACCATAGGGGAACGAACGATGACATGAACACAGTGATTCGGAGGTCCGCGCGGATTTCTCGGGTCGGCGCTGGGGCCTCCTGGCGGCTCCTCCGGCGCCGCCCCTGGTGCGCTCCGCGCGCCAGGGAGGGGGGTCCAGCGCAGATCCAAGAAATTTGCGCGGACCTCGGATTTGTTTTTGTTGTTCTTTTATGTTTATGCCATTTTCCGTTCCCCTAGATCTGGGCGACGCCGACAACGACGGCCACCCTTGGCCCCCAGGGGCCGTACAGGCAGCTGCTCGGGATGAGGTGCTGGCCTCGAGGAAGGCGTCGAGGTTACCGGGGGGAGCTCGGGCATGCAGCGCTCTTGACAGACATCGGAGCGGAGGATGCTCGTCGTTTTCTGCCTCGGGCTCGGCGGCCCCCCTGGACCGTCAAACGCTGCTCGGCATGAAGGGACGTGGGCTTGCGAAGGGTCGTGACACCCTCGCGGCGTGATGCCCTGCACGGCCTGGCATGTCCTCGTGGTGCACACGCGGAAGACCACGCGGGAGGCCATGCGGGAGACCTCGCGGGAGGCCATGCGGGAGGCCATGCGGGAGACCATGCGGGAGGCCATCCGTGAGGCTTTGCGGGAGACCGCCGGGGGGAGACCATGCGCGGGCAGCCGTGCGGGCAGCCAGACGGGAGGCTCCTCGCCCGGCGGCCTCCAGCTCTGGGAGACCATGCGGGGGACCCTGCGGGGGACCCTACGGTTAAATTGGGCCTGTCCCTCTCCAGGGGAAATGTTCAAAAATGGTCCAAAAATAGTCTGGGGACGAGGTTTGGACCATTTTTGAATTATTTTTGGGGTATTCTTTGAGTATTTTTCATTTCTCGCCCAAAATCCACATGTAGTGGGACATGCCCGACCTGACCCTACGGGGGACCCTACAGGGGACCATACGGGGGACCATTCGGGAGACCATGTGGGAGACCGACCATTTGCCAGGCGATCGCAAGCAGGGATCAAGGGGGTGCGGGTTAGCGACGGGTCCCGTTTCCGCGGGAAGTCGCGGATCTTCGCCGCCGAGCAAGGCGGCACAGGCCGCATTTCGGGGAGGGCGCCGCCCCCGATCCGTGGATTTGGCGACCGCGCGCCAGACCCATGGATCGCTGATCCATGTGTTGCGCGCCCCCGACATGTGGGAGGCCCTACGGGACGGACAATTTTGGATTCCAGGCAAGCCGTTCCGAGAATCCGTGCGCAGGGTGTCTGGGAAGGGAGGCGGGGCTGCTCGTTTTGGTTGCTCCTGGCCTCTTGGGGGCCTTGGGGGGCGCCCCGCGTTCGGAGAGCACCGGTGGGAGTGGGAGGGGGGATCGGGCGGGGCTAGGACGAGGATATATGTAAGTCGGGCCTGTCCCTCCACAGGAGGAGTATTCAAACATGGTCAAAAAATTGTCATGGGACGATTTTTTTTGATTTTTAGACTATTGGGTTTCTTTTTTGGAGCATTTTTCATTTTTCGTCCAAGGTCCGCCTGTAGGAAGACACGCCCGACGTAAGGCTAGGACGAGGATATATCCGTTCCAGAGCATTCCGGAGCGCCGCTCTGAGAAGGCCGGGCCCGAGGCGTCCTCCAGAGCCGCGGGATCTGATATGTGCTCAGTGTTATCCTCGCCCGATCTCGTCCTCGTCCTGGCTTCTGTTTTAGGTCGGGCTTGGGCGGTGTGAGCTCTGCTGCATGCAGCTCGTTTGGGGGCCGCCACGAGCCTGTTTCTCAAGGTCGGGGCGATAGCGCCCGTGATCGGCCCTCTCCCTCCCTCTCCCCCCCCCGGATCACGTCACGCCACTTTTCCCACCCTTGCAAAGGCTTCTCTTGCGGATTCGAAGATTTCCATGGATTTCTGGCGGCCACCCGCCGTGGTGTGATCGGGGAGGAGGAGCCCAGCCCCTCCATCGATCTCAAATCGATAGCGCCCGTCATCGCGAATCAAAAAAAATCAAGCTCATGCAGCTCGTTTGGGCACCGCCATCAGGCACACCCCTCGTTGCACGTGTCCGCCTTCGACGCGGGGAGGGCCTCGGCGGGGTGCACCGGGAAACGGGCTGCGTACTGCTGGTTCGCCACGTCTTATTTGCTGGCTGATCCCACATCACAGGCGATGGCTCTCGCCCAGCCCCCGACTTTCGACGAAAATTGGAGCCGCTCAGAAAAGGAGGAAACCCCCTAGCGTGGGTGGACGTCACCCGTATCGAATATCCCAGGGTCGGAGCCAAAATTCATGGTCTACTCGAGAACCGCACGAAGCCTGCGATAGGGGTCGACATATCCCATGTTCCCGCAGGGGAGGAGAGGTGCCGATACCGCTATGCTGGCCTCGTTTTCGCCTCCTTGGATCTCGGGGGAGGCCCTCGTCGCCACGGTTGGGTTCGCCTCGAAATCTTGGTCAGAACGCACCCTGAGAGAGGTTTGGGGAGTGACAGTATCGGTGCTGTTTGGTTTCCTTACATTCAAACCCTTCGTTCTCCCCGATTCGTGGGTGGCCACGAAAGGACGCAGCTCGAACAATTGGCCCAGATGGGCCCTAAGAAGTCTTTGGGAGGATTTCGGTACGTGGCGCAGGAGGGAGGGAGGGAGGGAGGGGGCAAGGGACAGGAATAGGAGGGGAATGAGAAGGAGGAGCCTCCACCTCATCTTCCTCCAGCGACTTCAATGCGCAGGTTGGGACGCATGAGCACACAGACGACGATATCTGCGATGATGGCGTTCACGACAGGTCTCACAGTATCATTGGGAAGTTTGGGATGGGAAGATGCAATACTAGGGGGACGTGGCTACGGGCTTGGGCAATCAAGGAGAAGCTCTTGATCGCGAACACGCATTTCTACAAGCATCCACAACACGTGTTTACATATACCAGCAACGGCTCGGACAAGACACGTTCACATATTGACTACATCTTCATCGACCGGGCATGTCGCAATATTGTTTTAGACGCTCATGTGTCTGCATGTCCAGACCTTGGGTCGGACCACCAAGCTGTTCACATGCGACTTGATTTGTCCAACGCCACGAGGAGACGACGACGACATAAGAAGACAAGGCCAACCCGTCCGGGCGACCACCTGCAAACGACCCAGGTTTCCAGCAGCATCTAGCAGAGTCATTGCATTGCAAGCACACCCACAAGCATCTACTGTCGGCGAGAGGAGCGGGGACACAGAGCGAGCACTGAAGACGGCGACCAAAGCTTTCGAGGCACAGAACGCCCACCCCAAAGACTACCACCAAGCACTCGACCACGAACGCGCCAAACAGCTCCACGACCTCATCGCACAACGGCGCCAGACGCCCGCCACAGGCAGACATTGCGACCCGCAAAGTTATCAGCAACAGGATATTCAAGGAACTGCGGTCTATAAAGCGGGCTCGGCAGCAAGAGCAGATACATGACATCATCGTCAATTTCAAAGGCTTTTGGAAGCTGGCGGGCATCAAGACAACGAGGCAAAAAAACATACCATCAATCACTGGACAAGACGGCAACGACGAGACCGATCGACAAAGCATCGCTGAGCTCTACCGACAAAAGGACTCCAGCAACGGACCTTCAACACACGGTTGCCAGTCCTGCCGCGGGAACCCGGGGGCCGAAACGAAGCCCAACCAAATCCCACCATTGTCGCAGGAAGAAGTGCACCAAGCAACAAACAACTCAAAACGGTAAATGTCATGACGCCGTCGGGATCACTGCAGAAATGTCGAGGACAAATGGGGCGTGCATAGACATAAATTTGCAATGCTTGTTCAATGACATCACTCACCTCAAACAACTACCTCCAGAACAGTGGAAGCGCACCCCTATCACCGTCATCTTCAACTCGGGAGACCCCAAACTGCTTCAAAACTACAGGCCAATTGTAATCATCCCGCTCCTGTACAAGCTTATGTCCCGCCTCCTGTGCAACCAGCTGGGACCACAAAGCGTGGATCAAACAGGCTTCAGACACGGCTACAGCACCGAAGACCACCTGTTCACGACGTCGCTCTTGCACAACCAGTCAGACGAACGGCAGTTACCACTATGGGTCGCGGCGATAGAGTTCAAGAAAGCATTCGACTGTGTCAACCAAGGCGCACTATGGCAATCATTCGCTGCACAGCAGGTGCCGACATCCTACATCCACACCTTCCAGCAGCTCTACACCGATCAACCCGCTACGGTACGGACAGACACCGCTAGTAGAGAATCCAACATCCAGCGAGGTGTGGAACAAGGGGACCC